ATTCCTAGCTGTAAACGGCTCTTATCACCAGAGGCTCATCAGAACAGGATTTCCATGGTCCAGTCCGAAGAACCAATATGAACCATGTGGTTAGTGATCCAGGGGTAGCTCTGCTTCTCAGCACTCACAGTAGGAAACAAGGAAAAGACCGAGGGATGATTTGTCCAAATCTGTACACAACTTCTTTAAATCTCCTCTCATTATAGCATCTTAAATCATTTCAGAAAATCTTTTCTTTCTTTCTTTTTTTTTTTTTTACAAAATTCTGGGAGTATCCCTGGTTGAAAACAGTCTTTTCCTTGGTCCAGACTTGACCTTACTCACCCAGATACTGTTCCTTGGGTGAGTTGTGTTTTAATTGCCTAGTTGTGTAAAGTGCTGTGCTTAATTATGGACTCGGGCATCTAATTTGTCAGTCATTGCTGCCACTTGAAACCTTCTTGGTTGTTTTACCACCATCCCCTGTTTGCACTCGAATTACAGAGGGTCTGCCTCTTCGGACGCAGTGCTCTCACTTTGGAGTAAAGAGCGGGAAATTGAGGCACCATTAAACCTGTACTGTATGCGACTCAGGGAAAACAATGTCAGCATCAACTACACAGATACTGAGAATTCCTTATCCATAAATTGGTAAATGATAACCCGTCACAATCTGAGGAATTCAGTCTCACAAGAGTCTATTAATGTTAACACCATGCATGTAGTCCTATGAATTGATCCAGAGGAAGGGTGTGGTGGGGGACAGGGGTATTTTATTAGAAATCTAGATGTTAGCAGTTCTCTTCCCTCCTTTATCCTAGTGTGAGAACACTTCTGTAAAAATAAGGGACTGATACTGATCTTAGACCGTATCCATCCCTTCTTAAATATACATCCTTTCAACTCGTTGCTTTCATTGCAACAGAATGCATTGCCTGGAAAGGAAAGCTGCTGTGTGTCCTGCAGACTGTGGACGTGTTGTCTGTGGGCTGATGAGCATGACTTTCAGTCACTGTGTTCTTCATACAGTAAAAGCGCCCTGGCATTTTATTTCTGCAGAGGGAATTAATAGAAAACACTTAAGACAAAGTTTAACACCAGTTACTTTTAAAACATTTAGTTATTTCTTGGCTAAATTTATAAATTTATAAAAATGTAAGGAAGAAAATTACTGAAATTAATGCTGAGAGGTTTTGAAGTTTCCTGCAGTGACCAGAGCTGCCTTTAAAAAGATTGCTTCTTATATTCCACGGAAATAAAAGATCTCACAACCTCTGAGAGATGTGTTCATCTTAGTCCTCTTGACCTCTTTGGGCACAGACATCTAGAATTTCTCAGGCTCATTAAGACTAAGAGAAAGCACAAAGGTCTGGGTTTATTTCAAAAGGGAGGGAAGGATGTGTGATCTTGTGCTAACCTCTCACTGGTCTCAGCAGTCCTTGAAATGGAGTGGTGGGAGGATGGATTCAGGAGGTCAGCATGCACTCCCATGGGAGCCAGTTTGGGTGCAGTTTTCAAAGTGGCAGGACAGCAAGCAGCCTGACTTCCGCGCGTGATAGCCACAGGCTCTCTGGCAGTGAACGGCCAGTGCAGCAGGCGGCCCTTCCACTCCTCGCACCAGGTCTGCTCTCAGACAATAGTTCTGTGATGGTATCACATTCAGAGTTTGGAAATAACAGTAAGGCATCAGAAGAGAGGATAGTTCTGATTTTTTGCCCCCCAGCATACATATATCCAGAGTCATATATACATATATCCAGAGCTGTGTGTGTGTGTGTGTGTGTGTGTGTGTGTGTGTGAGAGAGAGAGAGAGAGAGAGAGAGAGAGAGAGAGAGAGAGAGAGAGAGAGAGCGCGCGCAGGCAGGAAACAAAGCCATCATTGAGTTCTAGAAATGCAGAAACGGATGGGAGTGAGTGCCGGCCTTCTGGAAATGCTATTTTTTCACTTGGGATCACTCCAGTAACCAAGTAGAATTTTCTGATACCCTTGCCAAATAAAGGGCTGAGGTTGAGAAGGAGCATTAGATATTTGAGCTTAACTTGCATTTTGGAGAGCAGGATAAAAAAAAAAAAAAGCAAGCCCTAAATACAAATATAAAGGTTGCTTTTGGGCTTTCTCTATGGAATCATGTTGTCACTTCCTCATAGAAGCATAAACATTTTCATGTTCACCATGAATATAATTCATTGGCATTACTTACCCAGAAGAGAGTGAAATCAACAGGCCCTAAACATGTTAACATTTCTACTGCCTTCTCCTCCTCCCCTCCCCACCCTATCTTCCTATAACACCTCCTCCTCTGCAGCAAGAAAATCAAAGCAGCTACAAAAGGAAACCGTATTTGAAGTTTCTCTATATTAGGTGCATGTAAAGGCCAACCTCTTAAAGCAGAAAGCAGTGTGGTCTCTTGTAACATTTGGGTTTATGCTGTTCCTTAATCCTTCCATAGCTTGCTTCTTTGTGCTCTGCTCCTTCCATTCCTCCCGGACTCTAGTCCCCTTCCAATTATTCCAGAATAAATAGTGAGATCTTTGGGAGAGGTCTTAATGGAAAAAGAATGAAGGGACATCCATGCCCAGATAAATGTCTTGATCTTTTATCAAAACACGTTACCCAAAGTAGGGATGAGCTAGTGTTCCCAGAACCCACTGGTCTAACCCACATCCCTGCCCACACATACCCCTCTCTCAACCCTGGCCTCCTAGTGAGGATGGCAGCCATGCAGTCCGCCGGTATTTCTCTGAATCTGTAGCAGGGACCAAATTGGTGACATGAACTTGAGGACCTTAGGAACTCTGCCTCTTTTTCTAGCTTCCCATTGAATAGCCCAAGGACCCAGCATCCCAGGTCTCTTACTTGCCATTTCACACTGTAGAGGAGGCATCACCAGTAAGTTCTCTTGTCATTGTATGTCAGATCGATGATATATGTCCAGGGGTGCCTGGGCATAATTCTGTCATCCCCCTTTTCTCACATTTAAGAAAGCGTGGTATCACCTTGAATGTGTTATAAGTGTTTTTAGCAAATTATTCCCCAAATCTTGTCACGTTATGATTAGAGACTAGCTGTTTTTCATCTGATATAAATGCACCATGGTTGAGTACCCCTGGCTTGGGACACCTGATGTAACTGCAGGCCCTCTTCCTGAACCACCGCTTCATTTCCTACACTGCAGATGGGAATTCTCCTTCAAACGTGCGTTAAGCAACCAGAGATATACAGATACATACCTGCCCGGTACGGGCAGAATCTAGTTGGGGAGATAGACACATATAAAAGTCACCACTCCACAGGGAGTGCGACAGGGGTGCAAAGAGCAGGTTGCTGTGGGATTGAGGTTCTCGTTAATCCATGAATTCAGGCCTGTGATGCTGGAATTGGGCCTTGGGTAGAAAGGATTCTCTGTGAGGAAGGATATTCCCAGCAGAGAGGACAGGCTAAGTAAAGGTATGACTTTTGTGGGTGAGTCTGAGGACTGGAGCGTGCGGCATGTGACCAGGATGGAGGATGCATGGAGGCAGGTAAAGAGCAGGGAGACTCGGATGGATATGAGGATATACTTATATGGCGAGACGGTCCAGGGCCTGGCAGAGGGTGCAAGGTCTGTTCTCTGTAACAGTTGAGCTTAATTAGACCAATTGACTATGGAAGATGAGAAAAGTGGGGAAGGAATGTAAAAACATTAGCTTGGAATAGCAGATATAGGAGGGGCAGGTTTGGGGCTTGAGGGGCGGGAATGGAAAAATCAGTAAGTTTTTAGGGGGTTTGGTTGGAATTGCTGGTGAGGGTGCCCCAGAGGGATATCTAGCTGGAGTTAGCGGGCTTGTACAGAGACCTAGCTCTCACGTCAGCTCTGCCCTTCGGGCCTACATGGATTTGGAAGTCATACATTTTAGCCTTATTCTTTTTCCATTAGAAAAGCTGCTCACGGTGATTCTGTTATCCCACCTGTCAGCTTCCTGTACCTGAAACCCCGGTCTGCCCTGCTGTGGAAAGTTTATGGGTTCACTGTGGGAACTTGCCATGCCTCAGTGATCCGGGTTCTGTCCCAGGACCTCTGCACTTCGATTAAAAGTTGTCTGACTGTGCAGACCCGTGGCCAACTGTCCTATTAGGATGAGAAAGCCCAGCCTTCCTAGAGGGCAGCAGTAGCTTAGTACAGAGTGTAGCCGACTTAGAATCAAGAGGCCGGGCTTATTGAATGAATGGTTTCGATTCCACTTCCTCAGAGATAAACTGGAAGAGACCTGCCCTGCCCCAGGAGTCAAATGATGTGTGCCAGCTTCCACTTGTGCGATTAAGGTTTAGTTCTCACCTGGGCACCTCATCAGCATCACATTGATATCCCGGTGCTTACCACGTTCCTACTAGAGCTGCTGGAGAAAAGTATCTGTCCTGACTGCAAAGCTCCAGTTTCTGTCACCAGACCCATGAGCAGGGTGAAGGCCCCACAGCTTTTGAAATAGATGCATTAGGTGAAATTCATTAATTCCAGTTAGATTTCAACAACTGCAGTTCTAGGCACTTTGTGTCATGGAGATTTTTATATGGTGATGCTACTATCAACCAAATTCATAAATGCTAAGTAGCAGAATCTGAATATTCATTTCAGGCTCTGAGTAATAAAATTAGAAAACAAAGAGTGTACCAGTCTCCCCCTGGCATGTATTCTGGGGGAACCAGTGTGAAAGTGGAATTAATTGCTGTGTTAATGTCACTGGGGTTCAATTATACTAGGAAGCCGCCTGCGCAGCTCAGCCTATTGAATTCTGGCAGCTTTTGGAAACATACGTGTTTTTCCCCTGTTGTTTTCCCCGCCCCCTTCAAGGCAGTTTTCCAGGGGCTCCCTGAGGGAGTGGTTGCATGGGGACAGGTCTTATGTAGGCTTCCAGCTGGCTCCATTTCACTATCTCCATAAAGCCGCTGCCTCTGTCGCATTTATATGATGTTATCCATCATGCCCTCCCTGGGACTCTTCCCTTTGAATTGCTGACTTCCTATTTTTGGTTTGTACGTGCAGGCTGTCTCCTGGTTCGGACATCTACGTGACGGTCTCGTCCATGGCTTTAGCGAGATCCCAGCAGTGCCGTAACTCCCCCAGCAACCTGTCTTCCTCCAGCGAGACTGGCTCTGGCGGGGGCACCTACAGGCAGAAATCCATGCCTGAAGGGTAGGTGTACCCCGTCATATATGGTCCCAGTTGACATTGCTGTTTTTTATCCGTCATTCAGAGGTGTAAAATGATTTCCATTCAGCCAGCCTTGGTCGATTTACAAAAGAACAAAAGGGGAAATACGGTTAATAATTTCAAATGGAAAAATGTTTTCCTGGCTGGTTCAAACCACCTCTTAGGCTGTATATCATTCTCTGGTCTCTAAGGGTTCAGTGACAGAGAAATCAGATTACACCAGCTTCTCCATGATCTATGTTGCCAATTTTCATAGTACAGTTTTGTCATTTCTTAATATGTCTTCCAACGTGAACCCCACAGTACACTACACTGCTTGAACTGGTTAGAGTCTGTTTTGCTATTACAGTAGGGGATCATCAGACCCAAAGCTTAAAATTATATTTTTCACATTTTTAAAGTCTTCTGTGATTTCAGCCTGTGTGCTGGTATTTGTTTTTCATGGTGTTGTTTTATTTGTTTGTTTGTTTTTAAATACTAAATACCCAAAAGTAACTATTTGCTTCTGAAAAGACTTACAAAGTAAAAAGCTAAATGCATGATTTCAGAGGCCATTGAAAAGGGAAAAGTGATGGGGATGTCTGGAGCCTGGAAGAAGGAGCAGCAGAGCATTACATGGTGCACGGAGGCTTTAGGCTTTGCCCAGAGGAACAGGAAGGGAGCAGCAATGGCTTCTGCCAGGGTATCCTCCCCGTGAGAACCTGACAAAGAACCCGGGACCGTTTCAAGATCAAACATAAGGAACTGATAAAAACTGATGTTTCTATTACGAGTTTTCCCTATTTTAACAAATGCGCACAGGATTTGTTTATTTTCTTGAGATTTTACCATGTTACAAAGTAATCATGCTTATTATTAAGAATACCTTCATAGTGGGTATTTTTATCCTATAGTGTTTTGTTGGTTTTTACAGCTATTAAGTTTGATTTCTTTGTTGTTGCAAAATCTTTATGTTAGCGGAAATTAGGTAATAAAACCACTATAAAATATGCTCCTGCCCGTGGCCTCACTGTCTCCCCTAGATTCCCTTGGTAATATCTCTAAAATATGCATGTCTTATTTTAATTACTTCAGTGACAACTAGAAAAAATTTTAGCTCTTATTCATGAGTTTTGCAAAAGATTTTGAGTTAAATATTATATACCACAGCAGAAGCCCAACTAATTATTTCTTGTTTTAATTAGTAGATTTTAAATGATCTGGTTTGACTTCAAAAATAAGAATTCACTGCAACTTTAGTGTCGGTACAGCAATCTCTCAATATACATAAGGGCTAATATGCAAAGTGTCCCCACTTTGGCTGGGAGACCAGGAGTTCGATCACTCGCTATGATGTGCACAAACCACCAGGGAACAATGCAGAGTAAAGGAAGGCCCTGGCCAGTAGCTAGCAGCTGGTAGCTGGGGAAGGAAGGCCCCAGCCAGTCAGACCTAGGGACCCTACCTGTGCACAAATTTCATGCACCAGGCCTCTAATAAAATATAAATGAGCTAGCAACAGTAACAAAACATTATTTTCTTCTATGATATACTTCTAATATATACTAAAAATATGGGCTGAAACATTTATGTTTTGGTGAATATTTGTTAGAACAATGATTTCAATGTCCCGGGCTGCACAGTTTGTGTTTTTTGTGTTTTGTTTTTTTGTGTGTTTTTTTCCCAAGGAAGTGGTAGTTATGCACCGGTTATGTTTATTACTACCTACCATCAGTGATATTGAGGGTTTTGCCTATTGTTTGTGAGCTTATCCCATGACTATTTACTGTACTGTATGATGTCCTTTTTTTTTTTTAACATAAATTTTTATTTCAGAGAGGAAGGAAACAGGGGGGCTGGGGGGGGGGGAGTAAAGAGAGACATCAATGATGAGGATCATTGATTGGCTGCCTCCTGCATGCCCCCTACTGGAGATAGAGCCGAAAACCTGGGCATGTGTCCTTGACTAATATTGAACCTGAGACCCTTAGTCCACAGGCCAATGCTCTAACTACTGAGCAAAATTGGCTAGGGCTGATTGATGTCCTTTTTAATGTGGATACTTTGCAAGATGAGGATGATACTATAGAGGAAGAAGAAACTTTTTTCTAACCTTCAGGGTTTTTTCACTGGCTTAAATATTAAATCTACATGAGACAGATCAACATGAGAAAATGACAAAATTCAGTTACATATGGGAACCCCACATACATGAGAGCTAAGGATAATGTCAGGCAGCCTGGAGCTTCAGAAGGAAGAAACCATCACAGGACAATAAGAGCAGATGTTCAGTTAGTTTGCCTTGCCCTGTAGATTGGTAAGAAAAGGATGTCAGTGGTGATCTCCTGTGGGCAAAGCCCCTAATTTAAGTTCTTCTAGATCAGTGGTGACTAATGAGTTTGCCGACCACTGACCTAGACTCTGGATTCTAATAATTACAGGCTGTTGTTCCTTGTGATTAAGCCACTATCCCAGTGGTCGGTGAACTCATTAGTCAACAAAGCGGCAAACTGCAGCTCGTGAGCCCCAGTTTGCCGATCACTGTTCTAGGTAGTTAATGGAGTCGAAGTTTATCTTGAGCCCAAAGGATCTCATTTGTTGTTAACTCAAAAATAATCCACATGCCACGGAGTTACTTCTTGGGGTTACTCAGTCTGAACCCTATGATTCAGTGTTTCTGCTGGATCCCAAGCAGTGTTTGCCTGTATCAGTGATGCAAACATTGGATCACATGTATAATCCCATGTATGATTCACGTGTATAATCCCAAAGTTGCCCGACCGAGAGGAAAAGGATCACAGGGAGTGTACGTAGTCAGCTCCAACTCGTTAATAATAAACTTTAAAAAGCTTAAAAGCGTGTGACCATGACAGTAGGTCAGTGTGCAGTCATTGTCCGTAAATGTAGCCTGCTCCTTTGTTGTCCTCTCCTGTCCCGGATTCGGGACCTGGTGTCTGCATGTGTGTCATGTGTCTGCCCACTCCCTTGGGTGAGGATATTGAGACCATCCAAATCTGCTGAGAGTGACATTTAATAGGCTGGTTAATCCTGCCTGCTCCACTCGAGTGGGCGGACAAAAGGCACCTGCACACGTTTAAGATGGAAATGAGAGGCCGTCATAAATCAACTCTCTGGAGAAGACATTGGGTCTGCTCTGCCATCCTTGGGGACTTGTTTCTGGGGCACACACTTTGAGGAATGTTGACAGGGCCGGGAGGGGTAAATGAATTTGGGGACGGGGTGGGAGAAACGTATAACGAGGGATGTACAACCTGAAGGTGAGAAGTGTGGAGGCGAGGAGGCACTCTTAGGTGAAGGGTTACACTTGTCTGTGAGGGTGACAGAGACCAATAAATGAAAGTTACAGAGAAGTTTCCAGCCCATTATGAGGGAGCTGGAAACTCAAAGCCGCGAGCCTGCTCTGGAGAGCAATGGACTGGCTCCTGGTCACTGAATGTGCTGCATGTATCAGCCAGATGATTACTGAAAACTCTTCCAAATCTGAGCCTTCAGCTTCCTCCAAACGGAAGTAGTGAAGCCTCAAAAAGAGGCACAATTTGAACAGGTTTGTCTGAGCTCCGAAAGAGGAGGGTCCTTGTGTCCCTAATGCCCTGCACGCAATGAGTGAGTGTGTATGAGAACTGAAATTAAAAGTCCGTGGATGAAATGCTTTAAAGGCAGAATTTAACGACAGCCTTACATTTTCATTGTTTTGAAACCAGATAGCCAGAAAAGCGCTCGGCTTTAAATTCAGAGGTTTGAAAGGTCCTCAGTTGCCTCTGCTGCCAAAAAGTAAAAGCAAACCCGCAGTCTCTGTGCCTTTGTGAAAAAGTCGTAATTTAGCGCAAATTTAGAATAGGATCATAGGGCCATTTCGAGGATCTTCACTGTTCTAAACTGAAGAAGCACCCTACTAGGGAGAAGAGGGCAAAGATTGCAATTAGTGAATCCCTTTTTTTTTTTTTTTTTTTTTTTTTTTTTTTTTTTTTTTTTTTTGTAAATGCACAGTTACTGAGTTTTTCCTAAATTGAGGTTTCTGGTTCTGGTTTTTGTAATAGAGGTAACTTTGTTTAGTGAGGCTTGTGATTGAGTCTGTAAACTATTGTCATTTATGCAAAAGCAACTAGGGAGATGGCATTGGAGGAGTTTTACAAAAATTATGTTTTAGCCTTCTTCATTTTGCAAATGCTTTCATCTAGCTTTTCCTCCCTGGATCCATATAATGGAATTGCCTCTCCCCTGCCCCCCACCTCCCCAAAAAAGAAAGAAAGAAATGGAGCTGAAATTAGTAATTTGGAGTGGGAGAGCCAGAACTTGGCTCCACCAGCACCACGTGGTGGTTCTCCCCAGGCAGTTATCAGTTTGTAGTAAGCAAGACATCTATCATATGCATCCATCCACCAGGTCCCGGGTGGTCTTCCATTGTGTAAGTTCATTAGTTAGCCATACACAGATTTGTCATTTTCCACATGGACGTTTGAATTTCACCCTCCAGCCCTGTTTCCTGGGCTCGGGCAGGATTTACTCTGCTGATGGTGCTCATCAAGGTACATGCTTAAATCATGGATTATATTTCTGTTCTACATTGGGAAAAATAAAACTGGCTCATTGAATAGCTAAAACAGTCTTTCCAGAAATAGACAACTGCCTTTACAAAGCCACTTTACCTGCCTGTTTTAAAAGTGGTCTCTATCTAATGTAAGTGAGAGCAGTGTTTGTCTTTCAGACCTTAGAGTGCTCAGAAAATACTAGTTCCCAGAATGAATGATTTAGCAGATGTAGTTATGTAGTGATTTAGCAGATTATTGAGTTAAAAAAGCCCCGGACATGTACCCATTGGAAGATGCACATGGAACATTGGGACGGTGAAGATTTCCCTCTGGCTGTGTGTGAGTGACAGTCTGTGGTTGGCTACACCAGGACTAAAAGGCTGGTTTCCCACTCTGTTTATCTTAAGATAGCTCAGTCCTGATGGCTCCCGGCCTTGTTTATAGTTTAAATGCTTAGCCTACATACCTTTCTGAGCTGACTGCAGCACACACAGACCCGGCACCCACGTTCACATGCACGGGGCTGGCTGCACAAGTACAGACAGGCAAGCGAAACCAGTAGTACCTGTCCTTAGAGTGAAGTTCACTACACCCAGGACTCCTTCCCTATATGGGTGAGGTTTCTGATGTCCTCTTTGCCTTTGTTTGGGGAAACCACCGCAGGTTTGGAGTCAGCCGCAGATCCCCAGCCTCCATTGACAGGCAGAACACCCAAGCAGATCTTGGTGGCAGCGGAAAATCCACACCCAGCTGGCAAAGAAGTGAGGATAGCATTGCCGACCAGATGGGTAAGTAATTAAATTTCTACAAAAAGCAAGTTGCTTTTACACCAAGGTGACATAGGCTTCCTCTTGATGATGTCATCAAAGCATTCTGTAGTATATAGAATACAGCCCTGGTTAGTAAATGGGAATGAGAAGTAAGTCTTGGTTAGATGAACAGCCCTGGTTAATAAATGGTAATGAGAGTTAAGTCTTGGTGGTTAGATTATGTATAAGTGAAAGCAACAAATAAGACCTGAGAGAAAAATCAAGGAATTCTAAGTGGCCCTAAATCTAAAAATAGAAATGACATAGGAATTTTTTTCAGAACCAAAATTAAAATGCCAGACTGCCAAACCACGTGTCCTTACGTATCTCCCTCCCCTTTCATCTGTCTGTCTGTTTTTGCCTCTTTCAAGTGCCCTAAAGATGTGTTGGTATTCTTACAAGGAGTTTAAAGTAAATACATAAAAATTTAAAAACTGTGTACAAAGTGGGAAAGAGATACAATTGTTGCTTAGTCACATGTGTAGCTTGGTTAGTATCTTTCCTGTCCTATATGCTTTCTTTCCCTCCTCTGCTATTTATTAAGCTGCCAGCTAAGGACATGTCTTAGCACGACAGAGCTGGAGAAGCTTTGCAGGAGAGCCTTCATTTGAGTTTCTGATGCATATATTTCTCTGTATATATTTGTAGTTGCCGCAACGACACCATTACATGAGTTGATACAATAAAATGTTGCCATGAAACATGATTAAGTTTCAACACAGTAGTATCATAGATTTTTTAGTACCAACACAGTTGATACATCAGGGTCTTGAATCTAGACAGGTGTTTTTTTTTTTTTCTTTATCTTATTTTTAGCAGCATTACCATGGGTGTGAGATTCCAAACAAATACACTTCAAGTCTGAAAAAAAGATACTTTTTAAAACAGAGCCCCACCTTTCTATCCTCTCAGCAAATGCATTGTCTGTCTCATTGTGTTTTAATGACCACGAACACGGAAGGAAGTGGAGGTGTATTGAGCTAAGACACTCGTTGGGGAAAAGAAATATAATTCTTAGGTTCTGAAGATATGCTTTGTTCCAATAACTTCAGTGCGATGTGCCTTGTTATTGAAGCCATCTGTCCCTCCCCCTCTCTTCCCACCCACCCGCCACACGGAAAACCTGAGCATATTCTGCTCTGCTCCCAGCAGAATGTGTTTAATCCCATATGTTTTGAGGCTGTGGAGCTGGTAATGGCACGTGCGCAAAGGACCCTTTCTTCATCGTGACTTTAGCAGCTTTTTCTGGCTCCTAGTGCGCGCTTTCAACAAAGCTGCCAGCAAGCCCTTTGTGCAGCGTTCAGTGTCACTTCCTCCTCCTGGAAAGCCGTGTCAGGAAAGGAAAGGGTAGTTATCAGGTTCGTCCTAGAGCGTATTCATTCTTGCATAGAAACCTCCCTCTAGACTTTTTGTTCTTGCATCCCCTTTAGTTTAATGGCACCCACTTTTAATAGATAAGACTCGGAAATTAGTATAATGCACCCTTTCAATGCACTTGTTTATTATTTTAGTAAGATATACCCTTTTTATTGTTGTTGTTGCAAGATACCCCTAGAACCTGCCAGAAGAGCCTTTTCACCACGTGGGGCCTTTCTCTATTCAAAATCTAAGGCTTGAAATAAATGGTTAAAATAAAATAAATGTGTGTACATTGTTACATTCTAGAAGACTAGCCCAGCCTTTTCTAATGGGAACCTCAGAAGGAAGGTCAGGAGCTCAGTTATGCCGTGATAGGGAGAAATTGATAAAAATAATTACGCCTTATTATGCATTGCACTGTATTGAGACCTTTATACACTCAGTTTGTAAGAACAAAATTCTCTAATGATTTTCAGGTCACTCGTTGAAAATGTTGAGGACAGTCTTACTTGTAAGCCAGACCTCTTGTCCTTATACACCAATGTGCTATTAACTGGTGCCCCAGTGGAGACGAGGAGTGTAACTTGCTCAATGAACTCACTCATCTCTGTGGCAGTTCGTTTTTCTGAGCCTCTGCTTTTGGAAATGGTTGAGAATCAGAGCAAAGGGGTATGCTGCCCAGTCCATTGCGTGTTAGGACTGGCGTTGCCGAAGTCTGGAATTGTTGCTGTTAGCTAGCAGTATATGAAAGAAGCAGAATCGCTTACTTTGCACCTTTGGAACTCCATCGTGAACGCCAGTTTAGACTCCAAAAGGAAGCAATTGTTTTAAGTAAACTAGTTGCTGTGTGTCTTTTCTGTTGTGCTTAGCTTACAGTTATAGAGGACCTCAGGATTTCAATTCTTTTTTCCTCGAGCAGCATGAATATACAGGTAAAATATTTCCAAGGTGTCATGGTAAGTAACACGTGATTGCATCCATGCCTGTCTAGGTAATGTAGACCAAGCTAGGTTAGCTACACTTTGCAGTGAATGAATCTCATAAATTCAATCCATGTATTTTAGACTGTTCCCCAAACCAAAAGATGATTCCTAACTTTGCCGCGTTGTTCATGGCCTTTGGTTTGGTGGTTCTTGGCTCTGCTCATGTGGTCACCAGCTGCAAGCTTTACCCATCAGCCACTTAGTTTCTGACATGCCGTCTATTGTGTAAACTCTCAACAAGCTTATTGCTAAAACTCAGAGTTTGCTGGTCAGTGAGCTCAGAGGTGCCATGGCAAGCTGTCTTCATTTGTCAACATGTATGTGGGTCTGCTTCGGCCCGCACATAATGTCCTGTGCTGTGTTGCAGAGCCGACGTGCCACCTCCCAGCAGTATCGAAGGTACTGCCCACGTTCCGAGAGAGCCCCAGCGGGAGGCTGATGCGGCAGGATCCAGTGGTCCACTTGTCTCCGAACAAACAGGGGCATGTAAGTTCACTGAACAATAATAGAAATGGTAGGTTCCTGGCGATGCACCTTCCTTGGCGGCAGCTGTGAAAATGGTACAGGTCTGCTCTGGTCTCCCTCCCACGTGGTCAAAGAGGTAGTCATCCTGGCAGAAGGGGGCCTTTGCAGGCTTTCTGCTGCCAACAAGGTTGCTTTGAGATAAATTGAAATTTCTCTTTGCTACGCATCTGCCACCCCATTGTCTGGATGGAAGGCCAAGTGATCCCGTCACAAAGAGTCCTAAAATGTTATGAATTGAAGGGTGTTAGAAATGGACTTTACTTGTTTACACAATTGCAAGCATGAGGTGTGGTTGGACAGACAACTTCCTGACAGCTCCCCCTACTGCTTCTCTTACCTTTCAGAGCTGCACACGTTTGTCCTTGACCATCATGGCACACTTTCACTTACAGGTAGAATGGGGAATGGAGGTCCTCCCCCTTTAAGTGCACCTGTCTCTTTGGTCTGTCTGTCCACTGAAACGTGTGTTTATATTTGTCATGCAGTAGGATGAGGAGAGACTGTCTCTTAGTCACTAACTTACAAGATGCTCAGGGATGAGAGGGCTCCTATAAGTTTTGCTCTATGACATGAATATGGGAGCTAAATACACAGGAGGGGAGCACAAGTATGCAAGCACCCACACAGGCTGTGCGGCGAGATTTACTGACGAGACATGATGTCACCATTCTGCTTATAAATAAGAGATTGCCTTAGTCAGTCTGTCCATTTCCCCAGTTTCATTACTAATCTTTATATTGATTATATGCTAACATAATATTTGGGATAGGTTGGGTTAGAGAAAACATATTCTTTAAAAAAATTAATTTTACCTGTTTCTTTTTACTTTTTAAACATTGACCACTAGAAAATTTAAAATTACAGTGTGGTTCAGGTTCTGTTTCTGCAGAAATACGTTACGTGCTTTTCGCTCTCAGCCATCTCAGTGCAGGCTGCCACGTGGAAGGTGCTTATGGCTACACGTGGCTGGGGCTGTCAATTCCACAGTCATACAAAGACATGAAGTACTGACACGTTACAACATGTATGAATCTTAAAAACATTTGGCAAAACAGGTGCAGGGCTGAGGAATTCTGCCTACAAATACTAAAACAAATGAAGTTCTGTAACACAAACGTGTGAGAAAAACCAGAGTAGCACTGGTAAAATAATGGATTGGTTCTTGTTTAAGGAGGAGAGAGCTTTAGTTTTGCACTTTGAGGTAAAACTTGAGTGTCCTCCTCCTGCCATTATCCTCAGCAGATACACACACACACACACACACACACACAAACACACACACACACACACACACACACACAATTCCTTCTCTTTTCTCTTAAAATACTATTTTATTCAGCAATCTTTGGAAACCTGATTTATTTGGTGAACTACAAAATGTTCTAAGTAACTAAGCCACTGTATAGAAAGGGTTCTGTACTCTTTATTAATTGAGATACAATTCACATATCTTAATATTCACTCATTCAAAGTGTACAATTTAGCAGGTTTTTAATATATTCCCAGGGTTGTGCCACCAGCACCAGCATCTAACCCTACAAACTTCTATCACCCCAAGGAAACCCTCTACCTCAGTCGTCGCCTGACTCTTCCCTCCCCTCCAAGCTCTCGACAGCCATGTGTATGCAAGCACCTGCTTTCTGTCCATGTGGAAGTGTTTGACCTGAACGAAACAGAATGTGTGTGGCTTCTTTCACTCAGTTTTGCCAAATGTTTTTAAGATTCATACATGTTGTAACGTGTCAGTAGTTCATGTCTTTGTATGACTGAATAACAGTCCAAGGTGTAGAAATACCACAATTCCTTATCCCTTTATCAGAGGGGGGACACTTGGATTGTTTCTGGCTTTTGGCTTCATGAATAATGCTGCTGTAAGCATGCACGTGGAAGTTGTGTGTGAACATGTTCTCCTTTCTCTCGAGTCGATACTGAGAATCTACTGAGCTGTTTGACACAGCAGCGGCCCCAGTTCCCATTCCCACCAGCAGTCCCTCAGCCAGCGTTCTTGTCTGCCCTTTGATTATAGCATCTTACTGTGTGTGAGGTGTGTCTCATGTGGTTTTGATTTACATTTCCCTAGTGACTAAAGATACTGAGTATATTTTCATGTGCTTGTTGGCCATTGGTATATCCTCTTTGGAGAAATGCCCATTTAAATCCTTTGCCCATGTTTAAATTAGGGTTTTTGAAACATAGAAGTTTTTAATAAAGTCCAATTTATCATTTTTTTCTGTTTTGTGTGCTTTTGGGGTCCTCTCTAGGAGACCATTATATAACCCATGGTCATGAAGACGTACACTTCTGTCTTCTTCTAAGAGTTTTACAGTTTTAGCTCTTACATTTATGTCTTTGATCTTTTTGAGTTTATTTTTCTATGTGGAAAGGATCCAACGTAATTCTTTGTGAATATCCACATGTCCCAGCACCGTCTGTTGAAAAGACTGTTACTCTCCCTTCCCAGCCTCCCCCACTGGAGTTCACTTGGCACCTCTGTATACATCATACCTCTGAGCCCTCCCCAGAAAGCTGTCTCCTAAATCGATGCGAACTGGGGACGTCAGAAGGGAGCTCTCCTTAGGAATAAGTCTTCTTCCATGCTGCCTTCTCTTTACTCTGAGCACAGTAGGTCTTTTCTAATTTTAAAGCCTTTTGGAGGTGTCATTTTTGTTCTATTTTAGGATTACAATATTGAAGACTAATAACATAATTTAGACTTTTTTCTGATGAAAATGATCTCAGTACTGTTCATGCTTTGGCGTAAGTGAAATAATGAAAAACGGGTTCTTAAGTAACCATTCCCAGCACTCTCCGCCATGGAGCCTTCGCCTGGGTTTGCCCAGGCACCTCCGGCCAGACCTCAGTTTCTCACCATTAGAGCCTTTGGCCTTGGACCCATCACTAGACACGCGCGGGTTGCCCGGTGTTCACAAGGCGGAGCCTGCACGTGAGTAACTCTGCCTCTCCCGCAGCCCGACAGCCACTACTCAAGCCACTCCAGCAGCAACACCCTCTCCAGCAACGCGTCCAGCGCCCACAGCGACGAGAAGTGGTATGACGGGGACCGGACCGAGGCCGAGCTCAACAGCTACAACTATCTGCAGGGCACGTCTGCCGACAGCGGCATCGACACCACCTCCTACGGCCCCAGCCACGGCAGCAGCGCCTCACTGGGGGCTGCCACGGCCTCGCCTCGTGCAGGGCCCGGCAAGGAGAAAGTGGCCCCCCTGTGGCACAGCTCCAGCGAGGTCATCTCCTTGGTGGACCGGACGTTAGAGGCGGAGAGCCACGGCCTGGACCGGAAAGCCGAGTCCTCCCTGAGCCTGGACATCCACAGCAAGAGCCAGGCCGGCTCCAGCCCTCTGACCCGGGAGAGCAGCACTTTCAGCATCAACGACACTGCTTCCCACACGAGGTAACTGCCCTTCTCTGCGCCCCCTTCCCAGCCCGTCCTGATTCGAGTTTCCAGGCTTGTCCCCCTTCTCGTGGCTCTGTAGTGTATAGCACACAGGTTTTTCATGTAGTGACAGTTATTTTTACATATTTGGTGCCTTTTAATTGGCACCAAAATGCTCTTCCTCCAATTTTAATACAATATCATCTTCATCATCATCATCATAATTGTTTTGGGGGGGCAGTTAATTTACATCCAAGGATGATTTTTAGAGAGAGTAGAAGGTGGGGGTGGGAAGAGAGAGAGAAACACACGATGTGAGAGAGGCACATGGAGTGAGGTCCCTCCCCAACCAGGGCCAGGCATTGAACCTGCTCTCAGGTACATGCCCTTGACTGGGAATCGAACCTAGGACCCTATTGTCTACAGGGCCCACTCTCTAACCATTGAACACACTGACCAGGGCCTAATGCATTAGGTTAAGACAGATTCAGTCTTTGTAGACTAGAACAGTCTTTAGAAAATACTAAAAGAAAGTCTTGACCGTATTTTTAAAAAGGCCTAATATGGCATTATTTACAATGCTGGACACACCCTCTTCATTGCCTGTCTCCCAGAGAAGATGACTTACCCCATGTTTACATGTTAATTTCTTCCCATTAATTGGCTCTTGATAGTTATATGGTTGAGGGTGGAGGATATACATCCAGAAAAGTGTAGCTAACATTAGACGTAAAGTCTACCTTTCAAAGTAAGAATGTTTTCCCGGTATTCTTAGGTAGGGAAAACAAATACCAATTTTTATTTCTTCCTTTGGATTTGAGCCTAAAATCCAGAGTATGGAAAGATGTTACTTTTAGGGAGGACACACTCCATTGGTCTCTCTACGGGGCTGATGATCTCTGTGGTAGTTTCTCCTTTACCTGTTCCTGTTGTCAGCTATTGGTCAGCTTATAGCACAGCATGTAACCTTGCCTGGGCCTCTCTGATTATTATGCCCTAAAGAAAAAATAGCAAAGAAGCTGGATTTAGTTTTACTTTTTATCCAAGCACAAGATCTCTCGGGGAAAACTCCAGATAAACCTCTACTTAATCTGGATTTGTTTAACTTGATCAGTTAAATTCTCAGTTTTGTTACTGATAAGATTCTTGAGCTTCCCATCTAGTAAAGTTCCAGGTTGGCCCAGCATCTCACAGGTTTGCTTCTGTTCATTGTGGTCAGTCTAGAAACACATGATCCCCATATAAAAAGGAAATTGGTGAGGCAGGCTCAGTCAGGAGTGCCAGGCACCCAGTAAACAGAATGTTGGTGCATCAAGTGGACTAAGGAAGTGTTTGGAAAAGTAGAACAGAAAGCTAGTTACCAAGTACCATAGTGATATAATACAGGATCAGAGTATAAGGCATTCAGTTGCTGTGTTTTGACACGTGCCATCATCCCATTAACTATAACCGGTGCTGCGTTGACTTAGAACATTTTGAGTTCGGAATAGTTTCTTGGTTTAGATTGAGTCTTATTTCTTTGGTTTGAAAGGAGGGTGTGTGCCCTTTATAAGAATAATAATTCCATCTGGGGCTCTCTCTCTGGTCTAATTGGATGGTAGAAGAAAATCAGTTTCTGAGGTCTTGTCTAGTACAGCGTGGGCATGGAGTAGGCTTGGAAAGGGCTAAGCCTCCAAAGCCAAAGCACAAAACATCGGCCACGCCATCTAACAAATCCGATGAATCCAGGGGCTCTACATAGTGGCCCCGGAAAGCAGGCACCTTGGATTGCATTCTCTGAATATGCTGACCAGACAGCCTGATGGCCTCCGAGGATTACCCGCATTTTCTGCTTCAGACTGACCATGCAGAAATTGCTTAAATCATCCTGTAGAATAACTCTTGTGTTGAAAGTTAAACTTACCAGAGAAGAGAAGATTGTAGCCTTGTAGGGATGGTGGCAGGATCTCCCCTCCATGGTAGGTGGAGTCACAGTCGTTTCTCGACCCTGGTAAACAGGATGCTGTGTGACTTCAGTCTGGTGATCGTGGCAGAGCGAGCTGGATGGATCAGAGCCTCAGCAGCCTGCCTTTTCTGGAGGAAAGGGGGATGGAGCCACCAAGTGCACATCGCTGGAGGAACCCAAATCACTGCAAATTCGAGTGTGTGTGTCCCCAGAAGACAGGAGCCTCAATTAACAGGGAGGTGCCTTGACAGTGCATGAAAGCGCTTGTACCTGGGACTTGGTGACAGAACCCAAATTACAGTGATTAAAGCCCACTATGTTTCTCCCCGGGCTGTGTTCCGGCCCACCCTGTCCTCCGGTCTCCCGGTTGACGATTGTGCAGGGTTTTTGTGGCGCCCCGTGAGAGCTGCGTTAATGTAGGTTGGTAATTGCATAGGATTGTTCAAGTCGAATGTCATTAAGAGAAGCCATACACACCAACTTTCTACAATTAAAAAGTTTATTAATTGCTCTACAATGTTGCTCATTTTTTAAAAAAAGTGTTTTCTATATGGTTTGGAAAGTTAGGAAGAGGTTTTAATTTTTTTTAAGTAGCTGTTTCACTTTCTGGTTTTAAAATGAATCGCACAGTGAAGTGATTTGTGGTGAGCATAGGAGAGAGAAGAGAGGTGACGATAGGTCTAATTTTAATACACTTTCACCAATTGGGTCACTCTTTTGCCGAGTTCTGATCTTGGCTGTAGGCGGTGCCAGTTTTGTGGTGACCAAAGGCTTCCCTAGTCTAGTCCTGGTAACAGCAGTATTGCCAGTGTTAGAACTAGGTTAAAGAACACACATCTTAAAGCTAGAAACCCCACCATGTACTTGCATATATGCAGCTCTGCTGTAATGTCCTCACCTGACCTGGTTGACTGCCCAGATTTCTGCACCCATTCTGCCTTCCTCTTGTTTCCATAGGTCCCTCAGGTAGCCAGTCAGTACCCACTTAGGTGACCACATACACACTTTACAGTTCAAGAGGATTTCCCACCAGGACGTGCATCCTGAACACCTCTGCAGAGCATGTGCCACTGTGAGCTAATAATAATTGCTCAATTCATTTTGCTGAGCAAATAGGAGTAACTTCCTCCTTAACGTCCCCACTTTTTGCATGATGACTCAAGGCCTTTAATTAAGAAACCATTTCAAACATAGCATCAACCCTCAACTCCTGACTCCTAGAAAGCACTCTGACATTTCAGAGCTTTTTGTGCAGAAGGGTCGGCCTTGTCAGGAGCTGCAGTGCTTTCACAGACACACAAGGTCCTGCACAGCCTGACTTTTCAGTAAAGTCATTTCTATGTAAGAACTTTTTCTTTAATCTGCAAACTATAATAAGGCTTTATCACAGCTTATAGGCAGATATCAACCCAATCTGGATATAGGTCAGGGTCTGAGCTTCACTGGAAGTGCCTGCCCACAGTGGTCAGTGCAGTTCAGCTTTATGGATATGCTTTTTCTGGTTAACTTACTAAGTTAACTATTCACGCCAGGAAAACCAAATCTCCCTGAGAGGAGGGGTGAAGAAGGACTTCTTTATATTTAGGTTACATGAACACAAAGGCATGTCCTGAGTGGTGTGTACCTCTGTGTGGTTAGAGCTGGGTGGTTAAACATCACTCTTGGGCATCCTGCATATGTGCCCTCCTTCTTTATTCAGAAATTATCCATTGTCTTTATCTTTAACATTTCTCTCTCAAATCTCTCCTTCCTGGAATTTTTTTTTCACTTGCTTACAATTCCTTGCCTCTTGTCGATATTTTTAAGGTGAGAATATGATTTTTCCACGTTTTGTGGGCTAATTCATAAGTGAAGAGTATAACCTTGAAATGACAAGCCCAGGACTTCTCTCCAACCTGTGGGAGAGGGGGAGCAACTTGTCTTACATTCATGGGTCAGATTCATGGGTCATTTTCGCCTGTGGTTCTGCACATGGCAAACAGACAGGATTCTGTTTTAATTTGCAGCAGGACTACAGGTGACCTGTCCTAAGCTTTCTGTCCCCATTTCTTCCGGCTCGGGGGGTGGGGGGGTGACTGTTTTATCCAGAACTTCATTGATGTCTAGCTAACCTCCAAGATGAACAAACAGGACCACTGTAGTTGAAATTTCAAGTGAGCATTGAGAATGAGGCCCCTGTCAAACCACCAATGTCAGGTTGCATGATGCAGAACTCGCCAGCAGAGTTTACCATTGTTGTGTTCTGTGGAGCAGCTAATCCATTTATCCAGTGGATAAGGAAAGCCCACATTCTCCAGATGCCATTCCATCAGACCAGAAAGATTCTGAAAGGACAGAGTCTGTTTCTTGTCATATTTAAACCATCCTACCCAGATGAGAAATTATCCCATTGCTTAAAAGGGATGTTATACCTAGCTCTGCTGTAATGTCCTCACCTATCCCATTGCTTCTTAAGGGATGCTCTTAAGAAGAGTGAGTGTATAACCTTTTCTAAGTAATTTTAGTATTTTTTAAGTCTTCTTCCTCTTCAAATTTTTGTCCCATGTCTACCTATTTGAAATTCCTCTAGTTGTAGCTTAAATATACAATAAGAAATAATAAATGGTTTGGGAGGAGGGGCTGAGTCTTTTCTAAACATGATATGAAATTTTTAGGCACCAGGTCAGAGCCCATTGGAAGACAGTTTTTAAAAAAGAATGGAACTTTGTAATAGCCCTCCCCTTCCATGCAAGTGGAGAGAGAATTAGTTTTGGATGCTGATATCCAGGTCCAAGTCTGGGTCCTGCTGACCAGTGATGCTGCCTTCCGGCAGTCATGCCATTCCACCGAGCTTGTCCCTGATCCTTAATCTAATAACACCTGGTGCACTTATTCAGTGGTTGTTTTTATGTGTTTATTGAGAGTAAAAATAGTTGTTAAATGTATTGCAAACTGTAAATGTTCTTTTAATACAGAAGGTTTTTTTTGCCTTTTTTTAAAAGTTCTCCATTGCCTACCTTAATGCAGTTATGGAGCTACCTTTCTCTTTGACAAATATGTATATCACTCACCTCTTTTATGTAACTGATTTTAT